CTATCTATCTATCTATCTATCTATCTATCTATCTATCTATCTATCTAATCTCTATATCTCTATCTACCATCTATCATCTCTCTTTCTCCCTCTCTCCCCCTCCCCCTCTCTCTCTCTTACACATACACACACACACACACACACACACACACACACACACCTGTCTGTTTGTCTGTCTGTCTGTCTGTCTGTCTGATCTATCATTCTTTTCTTATGTGCTAATTCAAGATACAGCCAATGGCACAGCTTCCTCTAGTTACAAAATGTTGATGGCAGGGATTGCATGGAATATCACAAATGAACATACATATAAACACGCATACATATACATTGTATATTTATTTAAACGAGTATTTGTATATCAGTGATTGCATGACTTCTGTAGATGCCATATGCTAAATAACAACAACAATAACAATAACTGCCAAAAAACCTGCGCTAATTGGAACATCGTACATTTTAAGAAGATACTTGGTTGATAACTAGGATGCTGGCAGCAACCCGTATCAACCATCAGCGTCAGTCAGTGACATTTGTGATACATTTTTAAATGTTCAATTGATCAAACATTTAGTTTCATGTTTAATGAATAAAAGAGATAACAACAACAACAATAATAATTTTTAAATGTTCAGTTGACTGAGTTTTTCATGTTCAATGAATAAAAGAATAATAATAGTAATAATAATAAATAAATCCACCTCTGCCTATCACAGGTCCTTGGTGAGGACTCGATTGGTAGACAGAAATGCCAAACTCACTCTGAATATCTGGCTGACTGTGGGACGATAAATAATAATATAATTTCCAGAACCCCTTATCATCTTTGTTGTTCTTTCTAGGGTTTTGACATCTTTTTTGTATCATGCTGACACAGTGGGATCCAAGGATGACCTCTTGAGAAGGAAGGGCTCAACACTTCCCCTTTCAGGACATTATGGATTGCCACAAACAGACATCAAGCACTACATGGACCCAACCCAACTGGTTCAAATATCTCCCAGGTAGTTGGGAGTATTAGACGTTCCTTCTCTGGAAGTAAAAATACTCTCAACTTATAAAACATTCCTATACTTGTTTCTAAGTTGCCATTAGAAAGAGGAGGGAGAGGGAAGACTGGAGAAGTATACAGAAAATGAACTTAGAAACACATTCCAACCTTATCTTTAAAAAGATTGTAGCTAAGCTACCGGAGCTTTTGCCAGCGAAAATCTTTAATTGGAGAATGTGATGGATGACCCCTAGCCCATATAGTGCTTAATTGGAGAAACTGATTTATGGCACACCTGGGGGTGAGGGGGATGGTGGTCACAGGTGACTGTAATTACATATGCCAGAATTGGCTTCATATAGGTCATGCCAGTATGTCGCTCCAAATGAATTCTTTAAAGTTTTTTGAAGTTTGGCTCGAGAATCATGCTTTCATTAGGGTGATTGCTGGAATCCTGACAAATACATCATTTCCAAGCCACAGGGGCAGGATGTCAGCCATATGGATAAACTGAATGTCAGAGAAGAGGAAGGTGGCCTCAAACCAGAGGGGTACGTACGTAGAACTCGGACTCCGTGCTTCAAGGTTTGAACACGGCCAGGTTCCATGGACATGCTAAGCATGGTCTGCTGTCCTCCAATTGTGCACACTTGGTGTTCTTGGGCCGCTTGCTTGAACATGATGATAAGTTGGTTGGCTATGATGGTGTTGAGGATGGAGATAACTGCCATTGGGAAAACGAAGGAGATGAAGACGTTGACCTGGATGGGACAGGAAGAGAGGAAATAGAGAAATCTTGTTAGCACCTAAAAGGGGAGAGAAGAGATTAGAGATTTGGGTGCTGGTGGGATCCATTCTTTCCAGTAAAAATGCGATCACAGGTGGTCTTGACTTACAATCATTTATTTAGTGACCATTCAAAGATACAATGACGGTAGGAGATGACCAGGCTGAGCTTGAGGGAAGGAACTGGCCTTCGGTTCCTGAAAAGAGGAGGAGAGGGAACCTCTTAACAATATTTTTGTGTTACAGCAACCACCACCTGGTTTGCCAGCTCCTTCCAAAGAAGGGGAGGTGAATTCCTTTGAGACGGCCTACCTTCTGCCTTTGCCAAGTTCCTATAAGGACTTAGACTTTGAAGACAGAAAGCAGGAAGGGGAAAGCAGCACAGAAGAACCCAAGGAAGAGGAAGGGGTCCAAGACGGAAGGAAGGGTGATCTAGAAGATGACCAGGCTGAGCTGGAGGATGGGGTCAAATGCATCACCAGTCTCCAATCCCTTTGCACCCACAAGAGATCTAAATCGGGCCCACCTATTGACTCTTATATACCTGCCAATTTGCTTGGACCATCCAGATTCTTTGTCATATTAGAACTGGAAGGGACCCTGCTTAGGCAGGAAACCCTATATCATTTCAGACCAAGCGTTGTCCAGTCTCTTTGTAAAAACTTCCAGTGTTGGAGCATTCACAACTTCTGGAGACAAGTTGTTCCATTGATTAATTGTTCTTACTGTCAGGAAATTTCTTCTTAGTTCTAGGTTGTTTATCTCCTTGATTAGTTTCCATCTGTTGCTTCTTATCCTGCCCTCAGGTGCTTTGACTCCCTCTTCTTTGTGGCAGCCCCTGAGATATTGGAAGATTGCTATCATTTCACTCCTAGTCCTTCTTTTCATCAAACTAGACATACCCAATTCCTGACACTGTTCTTTATATGTTTAAACCTCCAGTCCCCTAATAATCTTTGTTGCTCTTCTCTGCCCTCTTTCTAGAACAGGGGTCTCCAAACTTGGCAACTTTAAGACTTGTAGACTTCAACTCCCAGATTTCCTCAGCCAGCAAAGTTGGAAGCACATTCCAACTTTTCTTAGAAAAGATTGTAGCTGAGCTACTGGAGCTTTTGCTCATGAAAACCTTTAATTGGAGAACATGATGGATGACACCTAGCCCATGTAGTGCTTAATTGGAGAAACTGATTTATGGCACACCCAGGGGCGAGGGGGTGACTATAGTTACGTATGCCAGAATCAGCTTCATACAGGTCATGCCAGTATGTCGCTCCTAATGAATTCTTTGAAGTTTTTTGAAGTTTGGCTCAAGAATCATTATTTAATCAGAGCGATTGCTGGAACCCTGACACAGGAGAATGGAGCTGGAAAGCAGGTTAGTGGGAATTCTGGGAATTAAAGTTGACAAGTCTTAAAGTTGCCAATGTTGGAGACCCCTGTTCTAGAGTTTCAACATCTTTTTTACATCATGGCGACCAAAACTGGATGCAGTATTCCAAGTGTGGCCTTACCAAGGCATTATAAAGCGGTATGAACACTTCATGTGATCTTGATTCTATCCCTCTGTTCATGCAGAGGAATATGAACAGTCATAAGTCACTTTTTTCAGTGCCGTTGTAACTTCAAATGGTCACTAAATGAAATGTGGTAACTGGAGGACTACCTGTATTTTATTCCCAGGGTAGGATCACATAGTTTGGCTGATCTTCAAAAACTAAGCAGGCTTGGAATGTGCTAGAACACGAATGAGAGACCACTAGGTGATTTGTAGACTACAGATAGTTTAAGAAGTCAAAGAAACTCTGCGATGAAAACAGTGGCCCATCACTTCCATGTGGTTGCTCAGAAATGAGATGAATATGTCTATGAATTCACAGGGAAACGACAAAAATTCATTTCTGCTTTCTGTTAAAATGTTGTCCTCCCAAGTAATTTCTAGAGCCCCAAATCTTTGTCAGAACTCACTGCATCGAACACATAAATAAATAAACAGACCACAGAAAAGCACAGCTATTAAATCAGTAAAACTTTACAATAAAACCCTGCAACATAATAAATGGCACCATAAAACTGTACAGTAGAATCATAAAATAATATATGATTGATTTGAAAGCCTAGGGAAACATAAATCTTTTCCACTTGCTGTCCTGCTTCTTGGGCAGCTGCTGAAATCTTGGAATGTCACCAATGCTCAATGTAAGGAAACTTACAATAAAACGATATAATTAAATCAATGAGATGCTACAGTAAAGCAGGACAACAAAATACCACAATAAAACTCTTCAAGAAGCAAGTGAAGTTGAAAGTCTTTTCCCCTTGCTGTCCAGTATCACAAGTGGGTATCACTGACTAGCTAATGGAGGCCCAAAAGATTATATCCCAGCTCTGTTGACATCTGTTGTGGGAATGAATTTATTTAATATTTAATTCATTTTTGTCCCACCTTTATTACTTTGTAAGGTGGTGAACATGCGTAATGATAACTAATATTTCTTCTTCCTCCTATTTTCCACACAACAATCCAACAATTTGGAATTGGGTATATCTAGTTTAATGAAAAGGACTAGGGGGGTGATATGATGTGTTCCAATATTTGACAGGCTGTCACAAAGAAGATGGGTTCAATCTATTCTCCAAAGCACCCAAAGGCAGGACAAGAAGCAATGGATGGAAACCAACCAGGAGAGAAGCAACCTGGAATTCAGGAGAAATTTCTTGATAGTTAGAACAATTAATCAGTGAAACGGCTTGTCTCTAGGAGTTGTGAATGCTCCAACATCAACACTGGAAATTTTTAGAAGAGACTGGACAATCATTTGTCTGAAATGCTATAGGGCTTCCTGCCTGAGCAGGGGGTTGGACTAGAAGACCTTCAAGGTCCCTTCCACCTCTGTTATTCTGTATTGTTATTCTGTGAGGTCAGTTCAGTTGAGGGAGATGGACTGACTCCCTTAGCTTTCATGCCTAAAGTGGAACTAGAACTCACCGTCTCCTGGTGATTGGCCCAAAGTCACCTGACTGGCTTTCAGGCCAGTCAGTTCTACACTTAAAGAGAGTGTAGAACTCACGGTTTCCCAGTTTCGAGCTTGGTGCCTTCAGTTGTCAGTCTGTCCCAAGCTTCTGGTTCTAACATGCCTAGTGTTGTGGTTAGCCGGCAGCAGATGCGGACAGCTGAGGAGAGTGAGGACTCAGATGAGGGGACAGGACCATTAGGGAATGGACTGCTGCCTTCAGAAATTGTGGGGGCTGGCAGTAGTGATGAGGAGGTTCCCGAGGAGCCTTTGCCAAGTGCGTGTGCACACAGGATTCCTTGGAGGAAAGAGCAGCTACAACAGCATGGGTGACTCAAGAGTAAGGCTGCAAGGTAATGGCCCCTCCTTCAAGAAGATAAAAGCCAGCTGTGAAAGGAACTTTGCAGAAGGCAAAGACGTTTTGAAACTCCAGCTTCGTGGACATTCCAGTATCCTGAGTTTGTATTTAAAGATTCTTGTATTGCAAATTATTACTTGTCTGTTATCTTTTGGCAAGTCTTGCACAGTTTGGCAAGGCTTGTGCTTATCACAGCTAATTATTTTGCAGAAACATTACAAGGTTTCTGTTCTATTTGGCTTGTGTTTGATTTGTTGGAAAAGGCCGTGGGTCAGAACACCTAGCGGTGCCAGTTTGATCCGGGTTAGGCCCTACCAGTAGCTGAAAAAAGTCACCAGGATCCATAGCTGACATATCTCAGGAGCCAGAGAGAGGGGAACTAAACTCAGGCAAAAATGAGGGAAGGTAATGACTTCATCATAAAAAATAGAAGAAGAAAAAATTAAGCTACATCCAAGCAATGATTTTGGTCTCTAAAACTCCTCCTCGCACTGAATGTTCTTGGAAGGTTCTTGAGTTGGACTAAATTCACAGTAAAATTAAATATTTCACTAGGCTTGCTCCTGTAGCAGAGGGAGGGTGAAGGATTCCTATTGCCACCCCAGACAAATTCATACAATAATGATAATGGAAATGTTCATTGCTAAATTGAATGTCGATCGGGGTGGAATTCAAAAGTTCTCTGCTTGGTTGCTGGGTGGGTGTGGCCATGGTAGGCGTGGCCTACAAGAACTTCCGGGAGGGTCGTTTTTCGCCTTCCCCAGAGTCTGGAGCAGAGGTGGTATTCAGCAGGTTCTGACCAGTTCTGGAGAACCGGTACCGGAAATTTTGAGTGGTTCAGAGAACCAGCAAATACCACCTCTGACTGGAGATTTTACAGTATCCTTCCCCTACCACGCCCACCAAGCCACACCCACAGAACCGGTAGTAAAAAAATTTGAAACCCACCACTAGTCCGGAGGCTTCCCTCGGGCCTCTGGGACAGTGAAAATGGCCTCTCCCGGGCTCTGGAGGCTCTCCAGAAGCTGGAAACATGCCCGTTTCCGGACTTCCAGAACTTCCAGGAAGGCCGTTTTCCACTCTCCCAGAGCCTCCGCACGGAACCTGCACTTACCTGCATCCAAAATGGGTTGTGTGGAGACTCCTGGGAGGGGAGGACCGGGGTGAGCGGGGCCAGCCGGTCGGTTCAACTATCAATTCGGTGAACCAGATGTAAATTTAACATCTGGTTTGCCCAAACCAGCCCAAACCGGCTGAATCCCACCCCTGATGTCAATGCATCTACCTGTTGTGATGTCTACCCCAATGAAAAACCTGGTTGTTGTCCCAAACTTTGGGAGACAGTTTGTAGAACCTTATAGGTTTTGTTAGTGTGGGTTCTTCAGATGCACAGCATTTTTTTTGTTATCTTGTTCTTGTTTTTCTTTCCTGTTTTGACTTAGCTTGCTGTAAGCCTCCCAGAATAATTTTGGAGTTGTGAGCTTCTATGTCTCAGCCATACATAAATAAATATACTTTATCTGGATAGGGAATTATTTATACCAAGTAACAAAGTATAGTTGAATCCAGGGATGGAGAAATCTTTTGACCACAGGGGTAACTTTGA